CAAACCAAACTTGCAAATTTCTAAAATTTGAAATTTGAAACCTAATTTGAATAAATTAGTTACCTTAAGACCTCTCTATCATTCTCCCTTATATATATCATTAATTGTAACATTATTCATCAATTATAAAACATTTTTCCATTTTGGATATCATTTTCCATAATAATGAAAGCTTCATATATATAAATATATATGAAAATTAGAGAACAATATTAAAATAGATAATGACAATTTTACAACATCCATGAGAAGAGGAAACTTTTTATTAAAAGAGAAAGACAATTTGAGAGGCAGCTTTATAAGAAAATTGGGATACTTTTCTTGTATAATTGCAAAAAGAAAAAATGATGAGTATCAAAGATGTTTTAAATCTTTATTAGAATCTTGATTTAAGACAAGTTATTTTCAAATTAAATAGAAACAATCGAAAGTATCTAAAAAATTTATTAGAGATACTCTCTTTGTTAAAAAATGTAAGGTATTTTTTAAGAAGTTAGATGTGCAAAAATGTAAAACATTTTTAGTCTTTTGAGATATAATCATTACCTTTTTTCTAAAAATGCCCCTATTAATAGTGAATTTATATTTATTATAAGGAGTTTAATAAGAGTAAACATAAAAAATAAAATTAATTTAAAAATAGGTAACTATTTTATTAGAGGGAGAAATTCGATTAAAAATGTCTTACATTTTTTAACGGAAAGAGTAGCACTTCATCTTTGGGGTTGTGCAAGATATAAGAAAAATGATTATGTGAGAAGAAGAGGTTATCTAGACTGTGTTTTAAGGGGAGCTAAATCTTGTGCTGACTGGCACCTTACAAATAATGCACATTTTTATAGACATAAGTTCTTATGGAACCTCCCATAGAGTGTTTGGCTATCATGAGTTATGATTTTATCAATGAACTCATGGATCTGGGTTCATCCTTGCTATCTTTTACTATAATCATTTTGCCTCCTATTGTGTATTCCCAAAAAAAAAAAGAGCTAAAATTATACAAAGAGGGGAGCATAACTTATTTATTAAATATTTAATGAGAGTAAATAAATAAATTTTTTTTATTTTTATTTAATTATTGAAATAGAAGTGTCTCTGTAATTCTTTTTTTTTTTTGGGCAATGTTCTCAACTTAGTTTTTATAATATTGTTTTAGCAAAACTAAAACTTTAGTCTTATATATATATATATATATATTTTTTTTTTTGCTTGCAAAGTCCCTTCCTAACTTTATAGAACTATCAATGGGTTGCAAACAAACATGACTAATATCAATGGCGAAGCCAAGAGGCAAAATCATTTACATATTCATGATTTAAAAAAATAAAAAAATATATTTAATAATTACATATCTTATAAATTTTCTTTACGTGATTTCATATTTTGGAATCGTTAAATAATCAGCTCATTGTCAATGCTTTCAAATATATCTTTTTTAATATAAGTCAGGAGATAATCATTCATCCATGGATTCCTTATTTGATTGTGCAACCAAATTTTTATAAACTTTATAATAAAAAAAGCTCTTTCAATTGTTGCTGTGACAATAAGTAATACCATTGCTAATTTCAAGAGAAGATAAACTAATGAATAAACAATGTGTCTTTTAATTTCAAATAATTTTTTAACAAATTTGTTTTGAGATTTCAAACAACATAGGCGAGATTATTTTTTTTCTTATTTTCTTAAAGGTTTAATAAATGTTAATTTTTTATAAAATAATATTACTATTTGGATATATTGAAATTGTGGACTAAAATTTATTAGGCTTTTGAGTTAAAAAAATTAATTTTGGATCTAAGTTAAAAAAATAATATTAAATGGTTTAAAATGCAAACTATGAAAAAGAAAAGGTGCAAAATATAAATACTTATACTCCCATTCCTATGTGAGTACTTTTTTTCGTTTGAGGTGCAAATACATGTGGCTCCACCACTGACTAATATATCTTTAAGAAAAATTTATCAACTAACATTCTCAGTAATTGATAATTGATAAGATCAATGACCATCAAAAGTTCTTCAAGTCAATGATAAAATGAAGAACAAAGGTACAACATGACTGCAACTGCAAGAAACCATACTAGGAAATTATCTGTAAAGATCAAGACAAAGTGTTCTTGTTCTACAACGAAAGTCTCATTTTTCACAAGTATAAACATCACTCAATAAGGTCATGCATTTAAAAGAATATGAGATGAAGTTTGTAAAATATAAAGACTTTTTTATCAACAGCCTTGATGGAAAATCTCGCATATGAAATTCAATTGTATTTTTCTTTATGAATTTTCTCTAATTTTTTTATATTTCTCTTAAAATATTAATATTTTACTTTTATCAAGAGATTCAAGTATAACTTGCACTTGTCTTTTTAGAAGAAAATGTGCATAAAAAAGAATATGGTTATGATTCATTAAAGATGAGCGTCTCAGCTTACTTTTTAAGGCTTTAGCTTTTAATGTTTAGATATAGTACTCTAACAAGGCCCAAGATTAACGTTGTAAATGAGGCCTTAGTTGTATTATTGTCTTTGAAACATGATAAGCTTAGTCTTTGAATTGATCTGGAAACCTAAGGCTTGTTTGGATTTTTTTTCTATTTTTATGTTCTTAAAACAATTATGTAGAGTAATTTTTTAGCACAAGTTCTAAACACAAAAAATGAAAAAAAATATATTTGAATTATTATTTTGAAAAACATATCTAAGATAGTGAAAGAAAGGATAAAAGAACTATTTATTTTATTAACATAATTGTCATGGACAAAACATGATATTTTTTGTCTTCTCTCTAATAGTGTAGAACAAAAAAATAATAAAACATCATAAAGATATTGAGGTTTTTTAAAATTTTTCAAAACAACATTTAACTTTTTTAATTTTTAAAATAAATAATAAAAAAGTTTTCAAATAATTTTTTTAATTTTTAAAATAAAAAAACTGTTATGGAAACAATTAATCAAACATACCCTTAATCTTTTATGGCATTAGAGCCAGCTCAAGGCTTAACAACATTACCTTCTTCAAAACTAATTTTCATGTCAAATTGCCTGTTGTCCTGAATCACCTAAACTCACATTTCTAAACTAATTTTCATGTCAAATCGCCTCTTGTCCTGAATCACCTAAACTCACACGAGAATGGGATTTAAAAAAAAAAAAAAAACTCATCTCAATTGCAAATGCTTGACATGTGACGATGTGAGATCAAGTTTAAATTTGTCCCTGCCTTCAAAGCACATAACAAACACATAATACTAAACAAAGTCAGTAATTCAAGCCAAACTTAATAGACCAATCTGAATAAATCTAAAAAAATTTAAAGTTAGGCTCAAAAAAAATTATATATTCTCCAATGGGCCCAAATACCTTAATAAAAGTTTAAATTCTTTTAAAAAATATATATTAAATATTAATTAATTATTTCATTTTTAGCTTTTTTTTTAATACCAAAAGACCATATATTTGAGTACATTATGACAAATATTAATATTTAAAATATATTTTTATATTAATTTTTAAACCTTAAGACCCATAACTTTTTTACGAAAAAAAAAGTTGAATCTTCTACACGTATATTTTATTTTTTATAATAATAAAAAAATTTATTTTAAAAGAATTTATTTTAAAAAAATATGTGAAAAAATGATAATTCAAGTATTTGGGTACAACTCAAGTAAGGCTAGCTATATGGGCTTTTAGGCCAAACTTAGAAAACCTTAGCCCAAATTAGACCCAACTTAAATAAGTTGGTTGCCAAAATATTAACTCTAACAATACATTATCATGATTTGTTCTTCTCAAAGTAACCCTCAAATCATCATGCACTACAATTCTATGCGATAACATACTTGACAATGTGTAACATTCTGGAAGATATAATAATGTCAATAACACGCGTGAAAAGATTCTACTTGGAATGGTCACATAGGGTAAAATCATATCATACTTTATCGTCTACTGAAAGTTCTCATTAAATGTAGATTTCTTTTGTCACAAACTCAAACCTATTTTATAATTTATTTTTACTTCACCACCCCATACATCAACTTACAATAATAAACTCATTTATTCCCTTCTGATAGAGCACAATGGCGTCTTGCAATCCATGTAACTGACCCCACCTAATGGGATAAAGGCTTGTTGTTGTTGTTGTTGTCGTTGCCCCACCTAATGGGATAAAGGCTTGTTGTTGTTGTTGTTGTTGTTGTTGTTGTTTTCTTAAGTTCTAATATTATTTTCTCAATTGAAATTAACTTACTCTGGCATAAGTAAATTACCTAGGATTAATAATATAGGAGCGTACGCCACCATGCAACTTTGATCCTTGTCTATGAGCCAATGAAATATCACAAAAAAGGTCTGATCCTTCTCGTAATTACGTCCAACTTTTATTATCTATCCTCTCAAATACACACATATTAAGTAACTTGACAATAAAAAGCATTTATTTTGAACAATTTGGCAAACAAGAAAATTGTAATAAAAACACTAAATATTTAGCCAAACACAAGCCTTTTTTGGATGAAAATTCTTCGAAAGGAAGTTATTTGAAAACAATAAAGATAAACTCGATAAAAAAAAAAAAGTAGGGAAATCCAACCTATCATTAGCGCACATGCTTCTATGAAAGACGTGATTTCTACTAATTTATATGTCTAACTTGATCTATTTATTTCTGATAAACAGAATATTACTCAAAATTTTTTCATTCTGATAAAAGCAGTACATTTTTATTTTTTGCTTTCCAATTTTCAATATTGCTTAACAATTGTGATAATAAATGAAGGGAAAGCATAACTGTTGATCCATGTACTTTGCTCATGTTTTGTTATAGGTCCTTGCATTTTTTTTTTTTTCAATGTTTTGGATTCCTACACTTTCATTTTTCAGTGTTCTGAGTCCCTCCAAGGTATCTAAAAAGTTTATGTTTTCTCATAAATGAATTAACTCAACAGCTAAAACGAGCTTTAAGGTAGCCACAATCTCCTATGGGTACTAGCAAGGGGGGAAAAACAAGACATTCATTTCCTAATGAGGGTAACATAAGAAGAATCTCATTTAACGGACACTTTTAACAAATATACATGCCCCTTCAAAAATTTTTGACCATCAGAAGTCAACTCAAGATACATATCTTAGCATGATTGACAGAAAGATCTAGATGATCATTTTACCTCTGTCAATGTAGGGTTTGCACATCCTTCGTCCATATGTTTTCTCAGAATTTCTCTAAGATACTCAGCTTGTTCGAATGACCCTTGAAGTTCCTCCCACTACAAGAAAAAACAAAGTTACCTCATTTTTCCCAGACAAAAATGATTATCACCATTAATTATCAAGTTTTTCAACTTCTCAAGCTGACATTCAAACAACTACATTGCTTATGTAATGTTTCTGGGGCTGCTACAACTTTATCTGATCATGAAATGAAATGATCAGAATTCTTTTGCCCAACAAGCAAGAAATCTAACATGGAGTATAGTGCATAACATACAAAATCTCTTTTGGGAAATGATATGGGAAACAGTCATGCATTGGCAGGGCAGACAGTTTAGTTTATTGATTGAGTTTTCTTTCCTTGCATTTAGTTGATTGATTGAGTTTTTTTCCTTGCATCTTTTTCTCCCTTTATTCTCTTTTCTCTTTCTTTTATAACAAGCAATTTCATGTCGTCTCCTATGTAAGTGTCTGAAATGAGTTGAGCATGGACACTTCTCCAATTTTGAAGTGTCCCAGCTTCATAGTCATTAACAAAAATAAAATGGAACAGAACAGGTGCAAATAGAGGATTGCGATTGCCAATCTCTAACCACATAACATCATAAGCTTACCAAAAAACTGGGAATTGAGTTCTGTATAAAAGTTGTGTTACCACAATACAAACTAATCTAGTGTATGGTAGCAACCAGCAAGCAAGCAATTCTGTAATAGAAATACATTAGCATATAAATTCAGGACCACAGGACTAACAAGAATTCTCATAAAGACAGAAAATGGCATTGTACATTCTACTTCTATTCTGTTTTCTAGATTATATTGATCCAAATTTTGAATTTGCTATTCAAAAACCACTGGTATGGTGAGAGTAGAATAAACAATTACCAAGAAAAATAATATGCCAGAAATTACCTCCTGAAGAGACAATGATATAACTTTCCAGCCAGCAGCAGTAATGTATCGACGTTTTAGCATGGTATGTCCTAGAGGCAAGCCTAGATCAAGAACAGAAAATCACATTAAAATGACATCAACAGAGGGAAGTTTGGGTTCAGAAAAATAATGAAGGTTGTACAATTTTTTCAAATGTTTGAACAAAATTTCTACCAGTGTTTCTTGAGAAATGAGTTGGACCATCAATCTCCAGGGCAAGTTTCTTATCAACTAATACAGCATCCAAAGTGTAAACATCAACAACATATTCTTTCACCCATTCAAGGCCGGTGCTAACAAGAAGACGTCCAACCTCTTTCTGAAATGAAGAAGTCACTTTCTGATTAAATCTCTTTGTTTTTCCAGTACAAGCAACTTTACCCTCAAGTTCACTGCTTAAAGATAGCTGAAGATGTGGGAATTCAAGCTTCAAGCACTGATTAACAAGTTGAACCTGAGAAGCAAACATAACATCCGCCCTATATTGCTCTGAAATCCTTTGCTCCTCATAATGACTCAGAGTTCTCCAAACATGAGAGAAGAACCCTCTTTCCATTTGTCCAAAGACAGCATAGGACCAAGCTATATTCCCAAGCTGATCCCTTCGGAAGGTGAGTACAGGAGGGACAAGAGATTCATCTAAACCAGGATTTGAATCTCTGATGCCTTGTACAAAATAATCTGATGTTTCTTCACTCAGAGGAGAATATTTAAATTGGCTTTCATCCTGGAAGACATTGTCTAGAGAATCAAATATAGCGTCAGCAGGTTCATATAAAGCTGCAAAAGCCCATAAAAGCTGGGCAAGTTCTTGCTCTTGGAAAGTATGAATTAAATCTGAAGCTCTTCTAGATAATTCCAAGAAGAGATCAGAAGCAGAGTGCTGCATTGAAGCAAAAGCACCAGCAATATTAGCAACATTTTGAGAATTGAATTCTCCTACCTTGGTCAGTGCAACCTCTTCAATTCTATCCATCTCAGAAAAATAAAGGAGTTCGCCTCCAATTTTGGACAAAGCCCAAGATATATTAGAGATACCTTGTGCAGAGCACTCAGGTAATGCCGTCATTGCAATACTCACAAGCATAGACATCTCTCTCTGTCTAGCAAAAGCCAATCTTCGAGTTTTCATCATACATACTTTCTCCATGTTCTTAGCAATACGATGAAGAGCAGTGGCAATATTCAAAGGGGAGAGAGGTGAGGGACTTAAGCCTTTTGCAACTGCCATGATAGTTTCAGAGGCAACCTCCAACACTTCTTCTGCAGTCTGTGCTTCTATAATTGCTTTGTTCAAGTTTATTTCTTTCCTACGGTCAGATGGTCCAGAGAACTGAGACAACCTGATGACAAACTCTTCCTTTGTTTTCTCCTTCTTTTCCATGAACAGTCCATCAGCCATCAAACTAACTGACCTTTTCAAATCATTAACATCGTCCAGAGGTCTGTTAGTTTGTGACACCAACTCCTCCTCTGAACTATAATCAAGATCATATTCCAAATCCTCAATTTTCTCAACTTTCTTTTCTGTCAATTTCTTCTTGTTCTTGCTCTTCTTTTTCTTTTTAACAGTGACAAAATCTTCCAATGTATGGGCCATGCCCCTTGCTTCAATTGATTTAAGTGCAACCTTTCTTGCTCTCATACACCAATCCATTCCATCAGTGTCTTCAAGCAACTTTGATTTCTGTTCTTTCTTCCTCTTCTTGGGAGCTTGATAACTATATGGATCGAGCTCCCCAATGAACTCTGACTCCCAGTCCATAGTTGATTCTTCACCTTCATCCCTATCAAATGCAGCAATACTAGTTCTTCTTGAGCTAGTGGCAGTGTTTCTACCTAAAAATGGGCAATTACTTCTCCAGATATGTGGCCCAATTTTAAGATTGAAATGACAAACTCTTGTAATCAGAGGGAAGGTACAACCAAATTTTGGAGTGAAACCAGGTTTCATACAGCTTTGATTAAGAAGAGAATTCAATAACCCTTCCATACTTAGTTTTCTGATGCTCTAGAAAACTGATTAGTTAGCCAGCTTTGACCATGCAGCTCAATTAAAAAGCTCATTAAAAAAAATTCCTTTTTCCCCACTTCCCTATTTATTAGCAGGATGTAACAGATCAGAAGTAGTTCTTGCAGCCAACCTGCAAACATAAAATGATTCATCTTTCAACCTATATGCCTTCCAAATTAGTTTTAATTATAAATATAACCCAAGAAGAACTCAGCAAGATGAATATGTGAAATGAGTGCATTAAATATCACTTCAACTCAATCAAAAGTTTGCTCGCTACCCCTCCTGCCCTACCCATCATTTTTAAATACATTCTACATCCAAATCTTCATTCAACTTGCCAAGAAGCCCCTCCTTGCCACCATCAGAATCTCTCAAGGATAATGGGTCAATGGAACCTTGCTCGATTTATCTTCTTTCAAACTCCTATTATACTTTACAAACACAAGGTCATTCAACTATGATTAGGCAAGCCCATCATATTATTTCTTTTGGTACGGAGCTGCAGTTTTATGATATTGTTAGCAAAAGCTGAAGTATTTTTTCTTTATCAGTAAATGTAAGTGAAAACCTTGTTTTCGTACCTTATTTGACTTAAATTTCCAAACATATTCTGATTTCTTTCACCTCCTAAGAATTAGGAAACTTACATCACATAAATTTTCAAAGTAGGAGCAAATCACGTACACAATCCACCAATTAGCTGTTGAGTTTGATTTGTTTCTTATTGAACACAAAACTATGAGCTGAACAGATAAAAGATATACAGTATGAGACTATCGACAGAAAAAGACTACATGCAGTTAGTTATATATTATTGCAAGGTTCTTCAATAGAAAGACGACAAGTGCAAGATTTTTGTAGATAAAGATCATAAGTACATATACTGGAGTACATATAACCATTCAATTCAACTGCCCTCTACCTGATGTTGCAAAGAAATTTAATTTTCAAAACGTCATCAAAAATATTCAATGAGGAGAGCATGAAGTCCATTACAGATTAGGGTATACTGACTCCAAAACTTCACCTCCCATGAACACCACAAATTTAGGCAAAAATCTATGATTGCCAAATTTTACTAAATCTTAATTCGTAAGAGGTAAAAGAAACTTGAAAATAAAATCTACCAGCAAACAAGCTGTTCGCAGAATTATCAGTAGCAACTTGAACCACTTAGCTTGGACCGGCAAACCGTGATAACCATTTGCCCAGTGTCAGGAATTGTGGCAGCCAACCGTCGTCGAGAAATAATTGCACTTGGCTTGGGGTTCTCCTTTAGTTTGAATACCCCAAACTTCAGATTTATGTTTCGTTCTTTGTTCAAAACACCAGCGAGGAATACGACTAATTTGATGTTATACGGAAATGCATAGCAAAAGGAGATACCTTATCTTGAGTAGACGAACTCGAACTCACTCACCTGCCATTTTTGGAGCAGATAACACAGCGAGAAGCCGAGAGACGATAATCGAGAGGGGAGGCTAAGATTTTGTATAGAGAAAACTAGTAATCCAGTTATGACTCACACAACTTTGTTCTGTGCAAAACTGTCACCCCCGCCGTCAAAGAACCAGACTAAACGTGGCTGATGTGTCACAAACGAGGTTAACTCTGTTAACTATTACTTAGGTGGCATCCATGTCAGCAACATCTATATTTATGTGTCAAGTAATTAAAAAATAAAATAGCAAAATGTACATTTAAATCTGTGGATCGAAGAATCAGAAAGCGAATCAGAAAGGACAGAAGCAGAAGCATGCCAAAAGCTTTAGAAGCGCAAACCAGAATGGAGCAAGTTATTCACGAACCTGTCTGAACCTAATCTGGCTGAAGCTAATAAGAATCTGACTGAAGCAAGCACACGATCTCTTCCTCCGACTCCGTCGCCGTGGGTTCTGCTTCTGCCCTTTGCTTCTTTGCTTTCTGATTCTTCTGCCCTTTTTCTCTCCGAAATCTCTTTGGTGAGGCCTACTCTAGCCAAGTAGAGTGTGTGAAAAGATTTTGCAAGGGCTCGGGTCAAACTATGAATTACGGTAAGACGAAGATGCGTTGCTCAAAAAATGTACACTTCTCCTGGGCTTATGAGTTGAGCAGGGAAATGGGAGTTAGCTTGACAGGTGATCTTGGTAAGTATTTTGAATATAATCCCTCTCTTGCATGAGAGGACTACTTATACTTACTTTGCTCCTATCCTTGAGAAGACTCGAAAAAGACTCGGTAATTGGAAGGAGAAATTCCTTAACAAAGCAGGAAGAGCTACCCTTATAAAGGCAGTGTTATCTGCCTTACCTTCATATCATATGCAAACGTTGCTCTTGCCTAAAAAGTTGGTGAATGAATTTGAGAAGAGTAGCAAAAATTTCTTTTGGGGTGATACATGACACTCGTAATTTACACTTGATTTCCTGGGAGCAAATCTCTAAAGCTAAAGTTGATGGGGGGTTTAGGTATCAAAAACTTGAAGAAACAAAATGATGAAATTGTGTTGGAAGCTACTTATGAACAAGGTAATTCGCACTTGATTTCCTAGGAGCAAATCTCTAAAGCTAAAGCTGATGGGGGGTTTAGGTATCAAAAACCTGAGGAAACAAAATGAAGCTGGTGTGATGAAATTGTGTTGGAAGCTACTTATGAATAAGGAGTTGGGTGAATGTCCTTAGAAGTAAATATAAATGTGAGCATGGCAATAAACTCCTTGTCAAAAAAATAAAAAAATAAAAAACAATCTTCATCTCTCAGTTGGTGGAATATTTGTGATGTCAGGGAGAATTTCAAAAAAGGTATAGGCCAAAAAATTGGAAATGGGCTTCCTCTTGGTTTGATAACGGGTCAGAGATGAATATTCCCTTGATCGATCTTGTTCTAGGTTATGAAGTGTTGCTTAACAAAGGTGACAAAGTGGTTGATTATGTGATGGGAAATGACGACTGGGATAGAAAGAAGTTAAAACGCTAGTTTGATGCACACAACGTTGACTATCTGATTAAAATGTACTCACATTGTGAGGAGAGAATAAATACTTTTAAAAATTTTCTTCTCATAGTTCTTTTATTGTTGAATCTGTCTATAATTTTCTTTTTGCAAGTGACTCTCAACAACAAGATAATGTTTAAAAACTAATTTGGAAACATTCAATCCCTGAGAAGGTCAAGTTTTAGTTTAAGTTTATTTCAGTTATCAATTTAGTCCTTAGCTTAATTTTTATCAATTTGGTACCTGATGTTTTCTTAAATTATAATATTAGTTTTTTAAGTTTTAAAATATAAATTAACTCTCAAATTAATTTAATTTATAAAGTAGGTCAATGACTTGACATGTATATACAACCAAACAAAAACAAATTAGCTCTTAAATTAGTTTAATTTTTAGGACAAATGGATAAATTACTCTCTTCACTTTAGGTTCAATAACACCATATTTTATGAACTTGTTTAATGTGCAATTTGTTTCTTCAATTTTTGAAAACAATATAATTTGCCCTTGCCATTAACAAAAATTAATTTTGAATGTTAGTTAGCCAAAAATGACTGAAAAGGACCCCAAAAAATAGAAAATGACCCAAAAATTATATAAAAAAACCTAAAACATTACACGTCCTTTTATGTAATTTTTTAAGTCTTTTTCTATCATTTTTATTTAACTAATTATCAAAGTTAACTTTTTTAACGGTAAGGAGCCAGAATGCACCTTTTTCAAAAGTTAAAGAAATAATTTATATAATAAATAAATTTTGAGTCCATGATGCTACTAATCTAAAGTTTTGGTATAATAAAGGAGTCTCTTACAATGTATTTTGTTCTTTTGTTTTCTAAAATTTTTTACTCTGTTTTTTCCTATATAAATTATTACACTTCTTTTTATTAATCTATTTGACTAACATTAGTATTCTATTATACATCTCAACAAATTTTAAAATAATAAGAATTAAATTAATAATTAAGGTGAACTTAAGGATAATATTGATAATTGAGGTGAACTTAAAGAACTTAAATGCATAAATAAATTTTTACACTTCTCCTTCCATTTATCAGATAGAGAGAATATTTATTTTGATATTTATAAAGTACTTCTATGATTTTTGTGTCCATATTTATCATTTTGTCCTTATTTAATATTAGGAAGGTTATTAAATGGTAATATATTTATTCTTAAAGTATGTATATTTAATTGGATAAATTTAAAAACTTATTAATTTTTTAGGCAAAGTTAATAAAATTTAATATTTTTTTTTATTCCAATGAAATATACTATAGGTGAGATATAAATAAGAGAGGGACAAATAAATAACAATTGCTTTTGCCAACAAACAACTTTCCTTTGCGATTTTTGTTGTTCAAATTGTAAAGGGTTAAATACTATTTTTCTCTCCTAAACTTTTTTTTTTAGGAGCATTAGGAACTTTTATTAGAAGTTGAGATAATATTCTCTCTAAATAATTTTTTTAGAAGCAAAATTGACATTTCGTCAAAGACTTGTTATCTTTTCAATTATCTACTAATGTTAAATAATTATGGAACTCACACACAGTGATAACAAAACATTTTAACTCATTTTGATGTCATTTCACCACTAAAATCAGGCCAAGTTTTTATTATTGTCATTTCTAGTCTCTTTGACCCATGTTTGATAATCAAAATGGGTCTGAATGCTTGATGTCACTATGCAGGAACCTCACAATTAATCCACCTCAGTAAATAATGAAGAAAGTTTAGAAAAAAATTGAACTTTAATCCAATCATAAATTGTCCTCTTTTTTAACTTATACTGAAATTAAAATAACCTTAAAAGGCTACATACATCCAGAGTTAGCAATAAGGGAGGATCCCTCTTCATCCATCAAACCTAATAGGGGGTTTGGGAGATGATCAAAAATATAAAAAGTCTATTTAAAAATATGAGCTTTTCTAGCTAAGTAATCAGCAAAAACATTCTCTTCACAATCCAAGTGTAGAACATTAATAGTCCAATCCCTATGGAATAAAATCTGTGCATTAGCTACTACATCTTTGAAGGGGTGATTTTTACTACATCCTCTTGTCAGCACGTTCAGTGCTCCTACACAATCCGAGTGTGAGATGACATTCTTGTAGCCACGATCCTAATGCATGCTCAGGCTATGAATAATAGCAATTAATTCAACAATACCTGAAGGAGTATTGAGGAGTTTACAGTTGAAACCTTTCTTCCACTTTTTATGTTCCCCAAAATAATGCCGCCGCAGCTAATCTCGCCATTAGACATAACTAACGCATCCACTTCCAACCTCATAAAACTACTCCAATCTCTATTGGCGGCTTTTGTAACTCCTCTTTCAAAAGATAAAAGTGGAACTATTTTAAGTAGGTCACAACCACCGCAAGCCCAAAAAAAACTAGATAAAGCATGTTTTTAAGCCGAGCTTAATAGACTAACCCAAACCTACCCAAAAAAAGTAAAAGCAAGACTTGGCTGTATGTACTTTTTTTAAAAGGATATAACACTTTAAGCCCAATTTGAATAAGTTTAATTCAAATTAAGCTCGACTCGAACAAGCCTGACTGCTGAAATTTTTAGTTTTATATGTATATAGAGTTGGTAAATTTAGCCAAGCTCAACAGGCCAACTTAATTATCTGGGCTTTTTTAAGAAGATAATATATTTTAAGTCTGATTCGAATAAACTCAAATCGAATTGAGCTCAATTCAAATAAGCTCAACTCGTTCAAAATATCAACTCTACATGTTTCACATTGACAAGTATTTTTCTCATCAAATACTTTTCTACATTTGGTCACCTAAATATCCTAACAAATATAGTCAAATAGGGTTGCCCAAGAAAACTTATTAGTGAAAGTCTGACCAACGTCATCGGTCAAGTTCCACTTGACCCAATTAGCACCTTGAAGGCTTCAAAAGCCATCTTAGCTTTCTTCTTTGACTACTTGTCACCATGTTTCGTTTGCTTGTTGGCAGTCTTTGATTAAATGCATTAAATCCTCGATCATCGTGCATCCAAACAGACATGACTGCTCTACTGCAAGGCCTCTCTTCAATCTGAGCTCACATGTATGGGTCCTCCTATGCACGAAGAGCCACATGAAGGATTTGATCTTCTTTGCTATTAGTCATCTACAAAGGATTTTCCATATGCTTTTCACATTGTTTTTATTACCTGCATTGACAAAGTTATAAGCTGATTTAACAGTAAATTGTCCTCTTTCAATCCTTAATAAAAGAGTAATTTTGAAAGCTTTTTTTAGTGCTTGATATGAGATAAAGTTAGAATAATTAATTTTTTTCATTCTATGTTTACCCGTTATTTATTTGTTAATGCTTGAATTTCTAGACATCAATTTATGATGATTATTAATTATAAAGGATAATAAAATTAAAAATTTATATATTTTTAAATAATTTTAAAGATATATGTATCATTTCTTAATAAGCATAAAGTTAGTTAAGTTTATCTTATATTAAAAACTAGAAAGAATATAGAGTAAAGCTAATAAAAAAACATAACAACTATGCAAGGTAGATTGATGGTATTTTTTAAGAAATATAATCAATTTTTTTTTTTTTTCACTAGATAAACACATTCAATTCAAAAATAGGAATGCAAAGAGTTCACAGTTAATAACAGGCCAAAGCCCAAACACACAAAACCTAATCCCAAAAAAGAAAACACCACCATAATAAACCTTAACCTATAAGCTGAAAAAGAAAGGATGGAGGTTCGTCCCATCCCTTTTAACAATGGAATTGCTAACCTTAAAGCAGATTCAAAGCACGGTACGACCATGGCTGCAAGATGAAAAACACCAACAATAGCAACAACACATCCACCATCTTTACCCCTAAACAGCACCACCTTACATGTCTCAACCCAATGCTGCCATAACTGTGCAAAACTAACCACCAACCCCAATAGATTAGAAGATGTGAAATACAAGGCCTTACCAAAACAAAAACAATGAGGAAAGGCTTGAAAGCTTGAGATTCAGCATCAAGCTTACACTCTTCAATTCGCAATATCACAACCTTCAACCCTGCCATCTTTAAACACTCGATGTTCACCATCGTTGCAGCACAAATTAAACCCCATCATAAAACACAAAAAAAAAAAAAAAACCCTAGCCCCTAAAAAAAAAAAAACACCTCCAGATCTGACACAAACCCTCCCCCAACAAATTTAGGGAAGAGTGGTGCTAGAATCCAATCAACAGAGATGATAAGAACTTCTCACAAACAAAGAGGAAAGAAGTTCTCACCAAATGAGAGAGAAATCTCCCATTCTTTTTTTTTTTGACCTTTCATAACTTAAGCATTCACATGCCAATGTAAATATTGGTGTGTTTGGGTAGCTCACTTTTAACATTTGAGAAGTACCTTTTCACTTTTGGATGTAGGATGTTATTTAAAACAAAAATAAAGAAATGAAAAAGTACTTTGTGAGTGTTATTGAAAATAGATTTAGTGAATGTAAGATGATGGGTTTTTGAAAAATGAATTTGAAAAGTGAGGTGTAATTTAACCATGATATCCCAAATATAATCTATTATTCTTTTATTTAAAAAATAGTGATAATTTATTAAAAATATAATAATCATTTAAATAATGATTAGATATCAAGTTTTTAGCATTATACATTGAATAATTAATCATGTTAATTTTTTAACATTGATGCATATTCAACTATTTATAAATTTTTTGTCCAATAAATAAAATTTTATGTTTTCTACTCTCATTATTTAATATATCAAATTTTATATTATTTAAAATTTTTATCAACCAACAGCAATTTGTCTAGATAGTTAATTTTTTTTGAATAAAAAATGCACCATATATATTTTTTGAATCATGCTAATTTTTAATATTAATGTATGTTGAACTATTTATTATGTGATTTTTTCCAACATATCAAGCTTTATATTTTCTATTCTTATTATTTAAAAAATTAAATTTTATGTTATTTTAAATTTTTCACATTTTTTAAATATTTTTAATATATTATATTTGTATAACAAAAATTATAAGTTATCATAAATTAATGTTTTTTTTTATCATTATATATTCAAAAGCACATTTTAAAAGTATAAAACTTCATCAACCTAAATACCTTTTAGCTAACTGTGGCAAAAAAAATATTTTAATTTACTAAATTGACTTTTAAGAATATATCTAAACATAAATTTTATTATAATAATTAATTTTTATTAAACTAATTTTTATCTAATAAATTTTTGATAAACTAAAAATTAAATATATAAAATTAGCATAAGGCATAAGAAAATAAAATTTAATAATCCAAATTGAGCCATCACTTATCTTTACCAGAATAAAGAAATAGCAAACCTTCATCCTTATCGCCTTTCCACGTCATCTTCACCACGACTTTTGTTTACAATACAATTTTACTATTTTCATTTGAAATTTGATGAATGCAATTAAAAATTTAGGGAGAAGGATACAAAAATATCTTCTAAATAAATAAATGACAGAAGAGTACTACAAATTATAATAATTATTCTGAAGCTTCAATGAATTTCTCTTACATAAATTATTTTAGTGAAATTATTTTTTTTCAAGAGAATTGGAAAGCTAATTTTAGTGAGCTAATTTGTGCTAGAAAAGTCCTGGACTTCAGAATAATTATGATATTTTGGGGTACTCTTCCGTCGTTTACTGGAGGTGTTTTTGTATCATTCTCCCAATTTAATTTTTAACTTGCATTGCAACGTAAATTCTTCGGCGTTGCTTTGCATTCCATTAGTGTTGGCTTATTATTGAATATTGAATATTTAAATCTTTCTGTGTATAATATGATTCGTGGCAACAATGTTTAATGATCTGATAAAAAAAAAAATTGGACATTCTCAGTCTGCCCCTGCAGATATAAAGGAAAGATATGAGTTTGTACCATTTTCCAATTAGCTAGGAGTTTCAGAAGTGAACGAAGATGTTGCGGCTTGCTATTCATCGAGGTTAGTTAACTCATCTGTAGACATTTTTTATGCTGAAACGATTGATGAATTGCTGGAATAAGTAATCGGATAAACATAATGTAAATTTTGATCCTGTGCTTTGTATATTTACGATTTTGCTTACTTCAGTGAGGAAGTTGAACAATTTGAGACCCCAGATCTTCGCTTTGGGAAGTTACCAATTCTCTACGGCTGCTGAGACCAGGAAGCTTAATCCGCCGGTAAGTTCAAGCTTCGTTTGGCTTCCTGGAAAATGAAATTTTCAGATTGGCTTCATTGAGAAAAGGAAAATTAACGATGCATTTATCTGTCTAATCGATGAGAATTTCATGAGTATATTTAAGCTCACTTGGATACAATGGAGCGTTACTGCTGAAAGCTACGATTTTAAGATGAACTATTATAGTGAGCTTGAATCTTTGGAAATCTTTTTGTTTTAAGAAAATTGTATCCGACTTCCATCCTGTTATAATCCAAGGGCTAGTTAGTAACATCCAAATGAGTAACAGGATATATACTTTCTCGCTTCTGCTCCAATGATATATATTAGCTTATACGCAGAGATATGTGATGCATGATATTTTGCAATTTTTTTCTTCTTTATCGTAGCGAATATATAAATATTATTTGCTGTAGTCTTCACGTGTCATAAGAAGTTCCAGACTAGAACTCAATCTGGCTGAGTTGGATTTCATATTCATGAAACTGTGGTAGCATTAAGATGAATTCTTCTACTTCAGAAAAATCTCATCTTTCTTTTTTTTTTCTCTCTATTTTTTTCCGGTATTGCATCAGAGGGTTCCAAATCTTATTGGGGGCAGTTTTGTTGACTCAAAATCATCTACATTCATCGATGTGATAAACCCTGTAAGTGTCTTTTCATTTTTTTTAGAATGTGGGAATTTACTGAGCTTATAGTTTTCTTTGTTGATTTGAGGAAGCCAAATTTCTGAAAATGTTAACTTTGATAATAGGCAACACAAGAAGTTGTGTCACAACTTCCTTTGACAACAGATGAAGAGTTTAAAGCTGCGGTATCTGAAGCTAAAAAAGCTTTTCCATCATGGCGTAATACTCCCATCACAACTCGCCAACGTGTTATGCTGAAACTCCAGGAGCTTATACGCAGAGATATGGTAAGTATGATAAGATTTTTTGTTGCTCTGTTCATTCACAAACATATTCCAGACAGCTACCCTGCCAGCCATACCTGTAAGAGGTTTTCTTTTGATCAGATTATATCACTAATCAGTACTCTGCAACTGTTTTAGGATAAACTCGCTCTGAATATTACCACTGAACAAGGAAAGACATTGAAGGATGCACAAGGAGATGTATTCCGTGGCTTAGGTTAGCCTGTCTATTTGTTTCTGTGGAAGTTAATGTGTTGAGAAGATGATTGAGGCCATGATTTGGTTTTGGAGTTCTCTTAAAACCTTATTGTCTTGTAGAGGTGGTGGAACATGCTTGTGGGATGGCAACTTTACAAATGGGGGAGTATGTTTCTAATGTATCACATGGAATTGATACTTACAGCATAAGAGAACCACTTGGTGTTTGTGCTGGGATATGCCCTTTCAACTTTCCTGCAATGATTCCCTTGTGGGTAAGCTGAACTCTACTTATTGGCATGTTGTTAGATTATTAGTTAATCTTTTCCTAGAGTTTTGGGTACATCTTATTTCTTTTATGCTTAGGTGTGTTATCTAGCATGCATAATGTGGCAAATGTATAGATGGCCCAAACTTAGCTGCCTTCCAGAGTAGCTTACACACACACACACAAACACACACACACACACACACACACACACACACACACACACACACACACACACATCTTATCCATATTATTATTAGTCATCATAGGAATTGAATGGATATTATATTGCATTGCACTCAACAGCTGTCATTCTGTTTGTTTAATCTGGTTGGTAACAAATTCAAACTTATAGTATCTAACTGCAGATGTTCCCAGTGGCAGTTACTTGTGGGAATACCTTTATTCTAAAGCCGTCAGAAAAAGATCCAGGTGATTTTCTTACTTTGGCTGGTTGTATGTTTGTACCTCAAAGTAACCCATCAATTTGGAGCATAGTGTTGACATGGAAAAAATGGACTCTTTATTTTTTTGCTCACGGCTGGAACATTTTTCTGATTTTGTTAACTTTGTGGCTTTTGAAATAAGTAAGCCTGGGCCGTATTGTCAATCACCAGATGTTGAACATTTACTGAATAGAAAAGCTTTTACTATAACCACTTCATCTGTGACTGAGGAATCTTGTACTAAGAACCGTGGCATGCCTGTTCTGAGATGAATAGGCTCAGAATAATATGCTTGTCACTGATAATAAATTGAAATTTCACCCATGATGTCCTTTTCAAAAATTTAAAGCTGTTCATTCTCATGGCTTTTGTTGAAAAAAATTAATCTGGGTTTTGGAAGTAAGCTCATGGTATAATTTTCTTGTCTGTGAATTTCATTAAGAAAAAATTATTGCTAGGGACATGGAATGTTATCAATTGTCTTTCTTAAATACAATATTTTCAATTCAAACTAGATATATACTACTAATGGCTTATGAACACTATGACTTGCGATTCATTTTATATTGTATATTAATTGAATAAATTAATTAAAATATAGTAAAAGATCAGCTTCTTTCAGCTTCTGTCTGCACCTTTATGATCAATACTTTTGTAAGAACTGTGTTAGCATGTTTTCCGAACATAATTCTAGCAAGAAAAATGAAGTTAGTGAACACCTACGGGACAAATTTGTGTGCATTGACAGTGGCTATTTTCCTTACCTTCCTTTGATCATCATTTTACATTTGATTGCTGAACACATATATGATGATTTTGTTTGGAGCAAGATTCTCATGTTCCTGTTTGTCTGAAAAGTCTATATATATATATATATATTTTTTCCCCCCCTTCTTTTTTAAGTATCAATTTAGGTGTGGCCATAAATATTCATCTAACAATGGTTAATGGAATATTTTTCCTATATCCTGAAATTGTGACCGTTGGTTGCTGGCACGCTACTGACAGCAATCACAAGCATCCATCCATCCACTTTTGTGATTTATTATCTTTAGTTTCTTATGATGTACAGACAACTGCTCATTGTAATTGGAAGCTATACCATGACTTTGGTTCTATTTTAGGGGCTGCTGTAATGCTTGCAGAATTAGCATTGGAGGCCGGTCTTCCTGAGGGTGTCTTAAATGTTGTTCATGGAACTCATGTATGTTGTCATTTACTCATTAAACTTCTGTTCTTGGCCTGTTTCTTGTGATACTCGCCAATGAAAGTACTCACAGGCTCATTTGAATATTTTTTGATGTCATTGCGAAGATGTTCTAAATTTTAAACTAGAAGTTGAGTGTATTATTGTCTCACACGTTGGGTGTTTGTAGGAAAGCTCTATTAACAAACTCTAAAACTGTTGTCCCATTGGCAACTAGTTACAGATTTAACAGGAAGTTGGGTGTATTATTGTTTCAAACCTGGGTATTTGAATGAAAACTCTATTTACAAAGTCCAAAACCATTGTTAAGTAGGTAACAACTAGTTATTATTATGCTTAAAAATCGTTCATTATACTCTGTTTTTTGATTTGATGATTTTCTTATCTTTCCATTTGGTTCCAGGATATTGTAAATGCTATTTGTGATGATAATGACATTAAAGCTGTATCTTTCGTTGGTTCAAATGTTGTAAGTGATCTCATGCATTTATTATTCCAATCCAGTTCTCTTATGATGCCTCCTCTTTTTATGACCCTCAACTAAGATTCCATTTTGATCAAGGGAAAAAAAATAAAGGGAACTTTTTGAAAATGTCATAAGTTTCTCTTCCTTTGGTGGATGGAAGAGAAAGGGGCAGCAAATAAAGTATCAAGAACTTTCAAAATTTTCACTTTTCTTTAGACATTTAAAATGTTACTAAACCTGGTTAAATGCTTCTTTCATGCAAATGCTGGTGATCATTATATGCTTTTGATTATCCTTTTCTATATTTAAGGCTGGAATGCATATATATTCAAGAGCATCTGCTAAAGGAAAACGTGTTCAAGTAAGTGCAGTTCATCACTGGAGTTTCTTTTTTCTTAGAAAGATTGTTAGTCCATTACAAATGATATGATGGAAAATCTACTTGGATTGTGAACTTAAATGATCGTTGTTTTCAGTCTAATATGGGAGCCAAAAATCATGCAATTGTCATGTCTGATGCAAACGTTGATGCTACTGTGAACGCTTTAGTTGCTGCTGGTTTTGGTGCTGCAGGACAAAGGTGCATGGCTCTCAGCACAGTTGTTTTTGTTGGAGGATCAAAACCATGGTATATGCTTCCTATTCTGTTAAATTACTTCATGATTATAACTTTTTCACCTGCACCTTAAAGTTGTTAAGTCTTGTTCACAAATTTCTTAGCAAGTATTTTTATTCATTTATCCCTCCTAGTGGAATAAGGCTTGTTTTGTTGCTGTCTTGTACTAAAACATGATTTATGCCTTTCTGTAAAGTCAGCAAGTTATTATTTTTATGCCTTTCTGTAACCATGAGGGGACAGTCCAGAGGACAGCCTGGTCCAAGGATTTAACTTATTGTGATGGTGATGTCTGGGTTAAATGTGTTCCTAAAGGTTTTAGCAATCTGGCTGTCTTTTGTATCTATTAAGGTACCTGAAATTTGGGTATAATTTTCATAATCTTTTCAGGGAATCTATATTAGCAGAGCGTGCCAGTGCACTTAAAACAAGTGTTGGAACTGATCCAAATGCAGACCTTGGTCCAGTCATCAGCAAACAGGTTTGTATGAGGTTTTACATGCACTTGCTCCATGTAGTGTATTTGAATTATATCTCGATAGTTGGCTAGGGGAAAAAAGCTAAACAAGCATTACTGGCATGGTTTCCAAATGCAACTCTTTTTCACATTGATCATGTGTGTGGTTTAACTTCGTGTGTAATGTTCTTACTGCTTGCATAGGCAAAGGAGCGCATACACAAATTAATTCAATCTGGTGTTGAAAGTGGGGCCAGACTGTTGCTTGATGGAAGAAATATAGTGGTAGCTTCTAAATCCTTGACTACTTGTATCTTCTTGTGTTTATTACATACTCCCTTTAATCCTATTTATAAGTCACTTCCAACATGTTTCATTGGAACCAAGGAAAACCTTAAATCTCATTAACTTGGTCTTAAAATTTAATAAGTTTCTACCTTTTAAATTTCATTACTGATATTTTATTCAAAGCATTTAATAAGGGTAAAAATGTAAGAGGAACATTGAAGATTCACAAATGTCTTATAAATAGGATCAAATGTTTTCTTTTCTCTTTGCCCTATAAATAGGGCCAGAGGCATATTTAGTTTTGCGTGTATCATCAGCATAACACCATCAATCTTTGTGATTGACAGAATATTTAGATACCCAGGCAGCAGAAAGATTAATTTATAGTGAATATTCTGATTGAAGTAATCTATTTTCAGCATAGAGCCTTCACCTGCTGAGCTCTACTAGGAAATAAATTATAAGTAAAATACAAGAGGAACAATAAGAATATTATGGAAAACCACAATCTTCAAATACTTGACAAAAATATTTTGATCATAGGTATAGATACCTGGACAATTGTTAATCATTGCAAAGAGTGATTACTGATTAGTGTTAACTGTATAATGACTTGATCACGAGTCCATTCACCTCTTTCAAATCTTTATTTTATTATTTTTTTTTTTTTTTGGGGGGGGGGGTGAGTTCCTAACTCACAACTCTCCCAACCTTTTATCTTGTAACTTGAAGGGCATGTTTGGTTTGGACTTTCAGAGCCCAAAAGTCCTTTTTTCAAACCAGCTTATTTAAACTTGTTAGAGCTTTTATAAACTGATCAGAAAGTCCATTTGAAAATCACAACCATACCATCTGAAAGCCTATTTTCAAAACACACCTACGGCTTACTTCTGGCTTTTGAAATTTGGACGTTGAAGCATTTAATGAGGGAGTTAACAAATTTTAACAACCTTTTATCCCATCTTACCCGTTGCTCCACACAACTTTTCCTCCACTCTTCCATCAGATTCCGCCACAGTCCTTGCTTCTGCTTTCCTTCTACTCTTCCATGGTAGGAATATATATAATTTCTTTTGTCATATAAAACTTTGCGTTATTTATATTCTTTATTACTTTTATTATTCAACATATCAAATTTTATATTATTTATATATTTTTCCAACAAATCAAGTTTTACATAACAAACATTACATATAGCTTTTTACTAATTACACGTTTAAAAGTGTTTTTCATTTATATCATCCAAACAAATTTACAAATATCAGTTTATCAAACTGATTTTTCAAAAATCTATCCATACATGAATTCCGTTACTATAATTTTTACCAAATTTAGACAAACTAAAAACCAAACATACTTAAATCAATAAGCAACCGAGAAGACTTATTCTTCTCTACCCCCTTAAAATAGAATCTCATCTTTTAGTTGGAAACCAGGTAAAAGTCCCTTGCTTGTAGTGTTTGATTCATTTGTTTGGTGGTAGATATGGCAGTGAATTACCTTATCACACTGGCACAATTTATTTGGTTTAACCATAACCATCTGATTTATATGTTGGCTTTATATTGATTCTCCTTGTGCCCCCCATCAACTCTCACCTTCCCAAGGTGCAAGAAAATGAAGCGCTCTAAAAGTAAGGTAAAATGGCACATAGAAGTAAGTATATACTTTAATGCAGAGATATTGCGGACAAGCTATAAAGATGAGTTCTTGCGTGATCTTTTCAGTAGACTCTAGTTTGTCCCCTAGACACCCCACCTTTCACACTAAAAGGAAGATGCTCACCAATTTACTCACTTGTGGCAAGTAGGTTCCAGGCTATGAATCTGGCAATTTTATTGGCCCAACCATCTTATCAGATGTCAGTGCAAACATGGAATGCTACAAGGTATCTTCTTTACAGCCTAAATGTTGTGAAATGACACTTTCCGAAGATGTAGAAACTTGAAGTTTATTGTGGTTTAAACCTGTCTGTCTCTTTAATGACATGTGCAGGAGGAAATTTTTGGCCCAGTTCTTCTTTCATGGAGGTGTGTGTGTGATCTGTCTTGTCCTTAAACTCCTTCAAGTTAGAAGTATTTTTTTCCATTTATATATTTCCATGTCTTGTATTACTTGATTCTGCTTTAACCTTTTCCCCTGCTTTTTATATAGAAACATGCTGATGCAGTGATTTTCTTTTTGTCTCCTCAGGCTGACAGTTTGGAAGAGGCCATAAACATTGTTAACAGAAACAAGTATGTTAAAAAATTTCTTCTTTTTGCGATCATCTTCTGTTAAAAATATTCATTTTTTAATGTTGACTTTTCCAACAGGTATGGAAATGGTGCTTCTATATTTACTACATCTGGTGTTGCAGCAAGGAAGTTTCAGACTGAGATTGAAGCTGGACAGGTAAAGTCACCCTAGATGCCATTTCTGATTATGCTTATAAAACAAGGAATTCTCTTCAACTAAACCAACAATTTGACCCTTAGATCGTTAATTATATACATTTTGTCCTTGAAAATTAGTGACTGTGTGGACTAGTTCTTGGAAAATAGTAATTTTGTTATATATTTGGTTCTTTTCATCTGGCCAAGAGAATTAGCTTGGTTATTTGTTAATTTTCATGGATTAAAACTGAAAGAGCCTAATAAAAAGGGAAGACCTCCATTTGGTAACACAAAAAATGCCTTATAAGGAAAATATAATAATATCGAGGGATTACAATTTCAAAATGAAAATAGTGAGGGATTTTGATCAACATATGCATTTTTGCAGTATTTGTCCACCAATTACTCTATTATTTTTGGGTAGATTGCCTTGGCCGTCAATAGAAAGGAGAGAACTTAAGTTTTCTTGTTTATTGTTTTGTTAAGATCTCTAACAAAAATGCCTAGAAAGAACTTTTTGAAAAACATAATCATAGTGTGTTGGAGTCTAAACATCATTTGGATGTCATGTTTTAATTGACAGACCTTGTAGTGAACACGATAAATCTGTGCCTGATGCTTTGTTTGGAATGGGAAAAAAATGAGAGAGAAAATTATAAGAGTAAACTAGAGGAAAAAGACATTTTTCACCCTTGTGTTCCCCTAATTTCCCCTTAGGAAGGGAGAAAACTAAAGGATAAATTTCATATAGGGAGGCAGAGTGTTTTTTTCCTTCTACTTTTCTTCCCTAATTTTTTCTCCTCTTATTTTCCTCCTATTCCAAATAGAGGGTAAGTTTGTTATAAAGGAAAATAACTCTCATATTCTTGTTGATCATGACTTGTACTGTGTTGAAATCAGGTGGGCATCAATGTTCCCATTCCAGTTCCATTGCCCTTTTTCTCATTTACTGGCAACAAGGCATCATTTGCAGGAGATCTCAATTTCTATGGTAAATAATTTACCTCCAAAGCTTCCACACCCCCGTTTGATTTTTTTTTTTTTTCATAGTTACAGACGGCTCATGATACAGACAACATCATTGAGTTTGGTTTTGTGATTTGTATGATCTACAGGGAAGGCTGGGGTTAACTTCTATACTCAGATTAAAACAGTGACTCAGCAATGGAAGGATTCTGCTGGTGGTAGCAGAATTAACTTGGCAATGCCAACCTCTCAAAAATCTTCTTGAAACATTGTATAGTAGTAAATTTGGATCCCTGAAGTATTTATTACTTCAATGAGTGAAATAGAAGGAGATAAAATAGAAAAGAGGGTGAAATCTACTTCCCCCCCCCTTCCTTCTCTCTCTACTTCAAGAAGGTGAAGCTTTTCAGAAGATCCAAATTTATGATGGAAGTTCTGCATTGTGTTTTTCTTTTTTAAAATTTCCTCTGTACCTAGGCTTGCTTTTTCCAATGAATAAAGAGACTCTTCCTGTTAGATGTGCTTTTATATTTCTGATCTCTTGAATAGGATGGGATTGTAAATGACATTTTAAATCATCATCAATATATCAGTGTTTAATATAAAATTCACAATAAATAGTATTATTTATAAATTATAAACAGTGTAATTTATTTATCAAGCTCTATGCAGCGTTAAAACATGTGTCTAGTTTTATATATGCAATATTCACCACCTATCATTTGGTTCCATCTCATGGTTTGCTTTTGATTAATCAACATGCATAAAGATGTATAACATTGACAACTAAAGGGTACAATTTGATTTAGTTCAATTATGAGTATTAGTTTTTTATTAACTACTTAGTATTTGGAATTACTGATGAAATTTGTGTTAAAAATATTTTAGTTGTCATTAGTTGTATGGCTTGATTGACTACAACTTGAAAGAATTGGTGCGAAACAGAGAAAAATGGCAGTGGCACATGATACTTTTGCCAAAGTGGTCTGGTTGGAAAGTAGTGACACTCAAAGACCCTCAATTCGATAAATGACAATTAAGAACCAAGGTCTTTAATTGATTTTGGGGAAAATGAAAAGTGGATCAAAAACAAAATGCTCCTATTAGGTGCATGTCATTTTTGAAAAATTGGACGCTCAGATTCATCAATATCAGCCTACGCAAGTTTCTTGAGGATATTTACAGAGATTGGATACATAGTGGGAGAGGTAATGCATTGCATAATTGAGAGAATCAATTTATCCTGGATCTTGGCATCATAGAGTATCTTTAATAAATTCTCATTTCAGTCTGTCAAAGGTTTTTATTTTTTATTTTTTATTTCCTAAATCTACTCTAACTGTCATCCAATCTTGTTTAACTCCTTTTGTTCAATTTAGGAAATTACCATATTATCAGTGATATTCCATGCTTCAATCAAACTCGCTTGATAGGGAAGCCTCATTTCAGAAATCACCACCTTCAATCTATTTGCAACACCTTTCTTAACTATTTCGTAAGCTATTCAGCATATGCTAATTTGTGTGAAATCTTTGAAGTAATGGGGTTGGTCTGCTCTTAAAAAAAGTGTAATAAGAATTGTGTTCAGATCATTAGGAATACCTTCACCATTGAAGAGGCTTTTGACCAATTGAAAAATTGAATTCTTAACCATATCTCATTGACTTTGATAGAAAACAGTGTGAATTTAATTTTCTTTACTTTTACTTTTTATTTGGTATAAGTTTTTTTTAATATACTTTTATCATCATATTTTATCCACTTAACTTAAAATAATTGGCATTAGCATTTCTTTTTTTCTTTTTTAAATAAGTTGTATAAAGAATAGACTTTGCACATAATAGAGAACATCTCCCTGAAATATTAAAAACAATGAATAGATCTCTTCTAACTAAATTACTATATACACGAGGAGTAAGATTCAGACTCTTAATTACTTGCTTAAATGGCAAAAACCTCTACTACCTATACCAACTTTAGTTGGTTTCCTCATTAGCATTTCTAAACATTCTCCAAAATAAATTTTGCGGCAAAATAAATAAACAAATAAACAACACAAGCCATCATCGAAAAAACAAAACTGGGGGAAGATAATACATTCTAATTTTAGACGCCTAGTAAATATATACAAAAACCACGTCCCAAATATAGCAATCATACAATTATTCTTCATAATCGTCGTCGTTGTCCTCATCATCATTGGATGAAGGTTGAGAAGGACCACCGCTCTCAGTGCCTAATTGCATGTGAGATAAAACTTGTTCCATGAAAGCATTCATCTGAGTTTGTTGGGCTTTCATTTCAGCAACAACCTTGGCAAGACTTGCTTCGTAAACCTCGGCTTGTTTTGAGAGCTTTTCCTCCAATTCTTTCTTGAAAGATAATTCTAAGCACTTTCTCATCTGGGAAAGCTCACCATGGTTGCTGCCTCCAGAATTTTGCATGCCATTAAAACTAAAAAGACCAGCCTCTGATCCTAACCCATATACATGACCTTTTCTATTCTTTCCGCCCACAATCTTGAACCCTATAGAAGAATCGGTCTCATTTAGCCTTGACCCTTGAGCCTCTCGCATTTGTTCATACTGGTTCTGCATAAGCCAGGGGTTAAGCAAATGTTATATATTTATATATATATATACACACACACACACACGAAGTTAACCACATGCTTTAAATGAACAAAATAAACATCAAATATTCAAATGAACAGATAAAATTAAAAAAAAGGTAAATAACCAAATTGACCCCTAAATTATAGGTTTAAGAATGTTTAGGATCCTATATTTATTTTTAATGCAATGTTTCTCTTCAAACTCAAAAGTTACAAACAAAGACCCAAAAAATTATGAAAAAGTCATTTTTTATCATTTTTTGATAAACTAACAGTCAAATCAACTTTTGTTAACGATGAGGGCCATATCATACTATTTTCAAAAGTTGAAGAATAACATTACACTGAAAATAAGTTTAGAATCTCATACACTCTTGGGTCTATATAAGCCAATTTGCTCTTTTACCCAATAAAAAACATTAATCATATCTTCATCAGATCAGTGACAATCTTTTTATGTAGATGTGTGGGCTTACATGTGTCAGCTGCTTTTTTACCAACCCAACCTCCTTTCTTCTCATTGTATTGGATCTTCTTGAATAACTCCGGGGTTTGAACCTCCCTACCCAACTCATCTTCCTGCAGTACTTGTATGAGTTAGATTCACATCAATTGAAACAATTGGGGGGCAAAAAACATTACGCAATGAACAACCACATTCAAAAGAATGCTTACCATCTTTCTTTTATGCTCTGAAAATGGCGTCCGTCCACCCCTATGGAGGCATCTTACAAGAAAGGCAACGCGTTTAGAGTTTTGTCATCCTTAACACCATGAGGTCTAAGAACTAGTCGTCTATCTGTCAATCTAATCCCTGGCTCATATGTGGTAACCATTGTAGACGAGCTAGCCACACCTGAGCTCTGCTCATACATTGAAGGTCCTTCTGAGCCAACACTAGTGGACTGATTGGAAGGCATCCGAATGTGTGGACAAGAAAAAGAAGATGATGCAGCCTCGGATCCGGGTGGGGTCCCAGAATGTGGAGATGGCTGAGGAAACGATGACTGTGCAGCCGCAAATAGTGCCTCAATGGGTTGATGCTGCTTCACAACCTTTTCTTTGCCCTTATTGCTAGTAGCAGATCCTCCAACCATTTTACGTCGTTTGCCTGACATCTGAAAAATAAACAATAGAACATTTTATGGGTAAAAATTAGTAAACAACTCAGGAAATTTGTTGAGTAATATAATAATAAGACTAAATTACTAAGGTTATATCAATCACTTGCCAAATCAATATCTAATAGTTCATAAACCAAAATTTCATCACATTCTTCTGTTGTTTCAGTGGGTTCGTTTCTAAAACAGCTAACATCTACATCGCCTACTTTGGCCTAACTCGTGTTAACTCCCGTATGATGCCCCAGCCACATTCATAAAATTCCCAGTGCCATACACTCGTACGGATTAAAATTCCTACAAACTGCAAGGATGACATCAAATAGAGCCATTCAGGGATGTTCCTCTTTTTGGTTATGCCAATAGTAACTATCAGGCATGAATCCTTTTTTATACAAATGCATCCAGACATCATTTGACTAATGGTACTTCATACATTTACATATTTTAACCCTCCGCTCTTGTTCAAGTACATCAGGTTGACTTGCAAAGCCTACATACTCTTCCACACTCACAAAAGACTCTTGGGTGATCCTTAGACGCGTATCCATTATTTAGTCATCCGCACAACAATGATGCTTGAGAGGATCCATCACCGAGCTTCTAGGTTAGACAAATTGATTGACTCTATAGACAACAAAAGGTTTCTATCATGGAAGGAAATTGTGACTAGTGTTGGGTATCAAGTGGCAGAAGTTCAAGGTCTTTAATATTATGAAATATTAAATCTTACGGTCATACAAATTTCTCACTCACAAAAATTAAGCTCGGGATTCCTAATAAGCCAGTTTACCCCCATACACCCACAGGCGAATCTTTGTTAATCAAGTTGTTCATCTATAAGACTGGCACATGCAAAACATAGCAATACCTATCAATGCCATTGCCATTATCCATGCCTATATTTGAAGTTTTAGCACAAAATCAATGTATCAACATGTATATAACTTAGAGGAAGCCGCACTATCCCACGGACTCCATCCAACACATTGGTATTGAGATATAGTTACTTCACATTGATAAATCAATGTAACTTAAATCATCTCTAGGTTATTATTTTGGGAAGCCACCAAAATTAAGATGAAAAACCTACACAAAAGTTCCTTATTGTTCAATTCTTAAAATAAAAAATTTAACTAATGCTTTAGTTGTTAAAAAGATTTTTCCCCATTCAGAGAATAACTAGAAGAAAAGTGATTTGTCAATCCCACTCTAACACAACAAATTGCAATACAACAGGATTCTTGTAGTTTCCAATTAAGAAAGAAAAGACAAGAGGTGGATAAGTATCTTGCAAACTTTACAAATTTGCTAATTCGGTCACGCATTGAGGAAAGCTAGAAGCACACTACTACGAGGAAATAATGAGACACACTATGTGGCAAGACTAACTAACCAAATCAGATTAAACTAATTAAAAGGACAAGTGGAAAACATAGGAGAGAACATGTAAAAAAAATATATCAATTAGGAATATATTAAATAATCTCTTACTGTTTGATAGAAGGAACTGAGAAATTCATAAGACAAATTCTTTCTATGAAATTAGATAAATGGTTTGAAAATATAGTAAAATAGGAAATTGCTTATCGAGAAGCAAAATTGAGATAGCATAATAAACAGTTGACTCAGTATGTCCTTTTGAGTTGCAAGATCAGCACATAATTGGCCCTGGTTGCTGCAAGCATAATAAACATTGGAGAAATCAAGGATCAGCAAGATATACAAATGTGTTTACGCTACTCACACAAGAAAGAAGGATGATTCTGACTGAGATTAGAGGCTCTAAAATGAAATGATAATGATAATGAACCCTCCAGAAGAAAAACCACATTCCATTTCTTCTATATTACATTAAACATTTCCCAAGAAAGAAGGGTGACTATGATTATAAATGCTACAGAAGAAAAGCTATATGCCATTTCTTCTTGCACGTCCCTGGATGCAAAGCAGTTTGAGGGAAAAACAAAATGAAAATGGAGGTTTAGAAAGAGCAATTTTAGACAGAATATGACACCATATAACTTTAGACAACTGAAAAGCAAGGTGCAAAGTTTAATGCCAATTTATAAGCAGCAGATTATACATCAGACAACACAATTTGCAACTTCAATTCGTAAGCAAAGAGATTACATATTCCCGCCTACCACCATACATAGGCGATAGAGGTGATGTAGTCCAATTCTCGAGCTATTATTCATACTGCATTGCTATAACGAAGGTTCAAAAGTGATTTTCACTGAACCCGACATTGTCACACGCAGTTTGATATCATCACGTGCATATGCAGTTCATAGGTACGGATAAAAGCATCAAGTAAGGGTAACATTTTGAAGTGTATTCAATCGAAAAGCTAAAAGTAATTAATCCGATTGTAAAGGGTGAGAGAGAGAGAGAGAGAGAGAGAGAGAGAGAGAGAGAGAGATTGGAATTCTTTTGAAGTGGCAGACAGAAACGCATCCTGAAGCTGGAGACCTACCGGAGAAGCTCGCTTGCCGCCGGCGGGAACGAAGGGGAATAACAGAGTGACAGCTCGCTACCGCTACAGTGGACGTCGGTGGTGGCTTCCGCGGCAGATGGTCGTCGCCGACGATCAGGAAGGATGGGGGCTTCGTGCTCGTTACGAGTGACGAATGCTTGGGGACAGTGAATTGGAATTTGGGAATCGGAATTTGTCCGTCCAGCTTCAGGCTCGTGGCGCTCTGTTTCCGCGCGTTTCAAATTTTGTTTCTTTAATTTTATTTCATAGATGACAAAATTTTGAAATTTATATAATGAAAAATTAGAAGGAGGGATCTAATAAATATTACTAAACTTTATTATGAAAGATCATTTAAAAAATTTAGATGAAAGATTAAGATAAGTGTAATTGACAATTATAATCTTGATATATAATAGTATTTATTAGGGATTTTAGTCGCAAATCGGAAGTTTCTAATTTTTTTTATTTCACATGAAATAATGTTGTGAGAATTTTCTTTTTGAAAATTTTTAATTCTGCCCGAACTTTTTTTGTGGGAAGAAAATTCTTTAAAGAATTATATGCTTATAAATATTCACTAAGAAAATAATATTAAATTTTTTTATTCAAAACGATTTTTAAAAATTCTATTGTAAAAAGAGGATTTTTATTTTTTTATTATTTTAACTTTTTTTACTATGCAGAAAATTTGTTGTAAAGAGCAAAGTATAAAAAACTGAACTACTCACTGAACTTGTTAAAAAATTAATTTAAGAATTAATGATTTAATCACAGTCAAAAAGATAAGGACGAAATTAATATTTTTACATTATATAATTATTATGTTAAATTAAAATAATATTATTATTATAATATAAGAAAATAAACATTTTTTACTGAAAAAATTAAATTTAAATAGTGACAGATTTAAAATACAAAATAATAATAAAATCAAAATAAAATTTGAACAGTTAAAACCTCAGCCTTACTTGATCCTGAGACTCATCGGGTGCAACACCTCTCTTGTAGAAAAACGAGAGCGTGCCTTGAATATCAAATGTAGAGAGTCACATCCCTGTTTCTTATACTTGGCCCACTATATTATTCATTTATTATTTATCTTTCCATTCATTTAAAAAAAAAATAAAATACAAATTAACCTATATAATATTTACTATGACCTTTAGTCTCATTGGAGTTTTACGTGTAGGCAAGACCCATCTCAACTTACTTTCATTTTTCTCTATGCTTTTCAGTTTTCACCTTTTTTGTTTCCACTCCTTTCCTTTTAACGTTGTTTTCCATCCTCTTTTTATTATTAGTTTGATGCTAAGGGAAATTAATAAACACCATGCGAGTGTACAAGCATAATGTAGGTAATAGTAAATCAATGTTGTTCTCACAGAAAATCAAGTAAAATACTTAAATGTGTCCCCCCATTATTTCTGGAATTTTTGGTATTTTTAGTGGTCTGAATTATGTTAGCAAAAGGATTTTAAAATTGTGAAAGTCTTTTGTGATTGTACACAAGCGATCTCCACTATCACAAAGGACAACCATAGTTATCACCATTTTCAAACATAAATGACTCTACTAAAAGACTTTTGTGTAAGCAATGGGTTGTTAATTTTAATGTTGTGTACAGGGAAAATAATAGAGAGATTGATTATCTTACTAAGTTGTGCCACAATCTTCCGCTCTAACTTTTATGATGTTTTCCCTCTGACTTGGGATTTTGTTTTCTTTTTGGTAGGTTGGGCATTTTCTCTCCTGTTGAGCTATTTTTGCTGTTTGTTCTCTGTTATTGGTTTACATTCGGTTGAATAATTTCCCTTCTGATTAAAAAAAAAACAAAGAAAATCAAGTTAAATGATAAATAGGTATTAAATTTTCAATTTCATTCAATTTAATTTAAAATGTTAAAAATATTTTAAGTTAAGTAACTACAATTTTGAATTTGAAGCACTCTAAACTCAAGAAAACAAAAAAAAAAAACCTTGAGTAGTAAGCCTATTTTTATTTCATTCAATTTATTGATTACATTAATTTTAATTCCATTTTAAGGGTTGGGGAACTTGAATTTATAATCTCGAATATCTTTTGGTTGCTCAAAATTCTACTCAATTCTAACTCAACAATTTCTTGCTAAAATTAGATTAAATGCTTTAAGTTCAAGCTTCTTCTAACCACTTAGGTCATTGAGGTACAATCATGTCTTAAAGACAAATTAACTAAGTTAATCTTAAGCTATTGATTCCAATGTCCAAACAGAAATTTCTCTCCCAATTTTATTTTATTTCCCTAAGTAGTATCTAATGGTGGCCAATCATTAATTCAAAGTAAAATTAGAATTGAAATATAAAACATCCATTTATCATAAAATAATCAGTAAATCAAATTACAAATTAAGTAAATGAGTTCATAGTATGTACTCTAAAGCATCAAAGTTCAGCCATACCATATAGTTAAATAAAACCTGAAATCAGCATAACAATGGTTTCTCAATGTCAATATCTCTAGGAACCAAAAGACTTAAATTCCATTTAAGTTAATTATTGCAATAAATAAAGAAAAGGCTAAAGTATATATTTAGTCCTTTAACTTTACACAACATTTCATTTTAATCCTTTAATTTTATAAAATATATTTTTAATTTTTGTTAACCCTAACACTATTAGTTTTATCCCAACAAATTTTTATATTGAACTTTTAAATATTAACAAAATATTCTTAAATGTTAACATATTAAGTTTAATTTTTTTAAAATAATAATAATTGACACAAAAAATAATCATTTAAAAGTAATAATGTTAGAGTTAAAGGATTAAAAGAATACTTTATAAAATTAAAGGACTAAATTAAAACCTTATATAAAGTTAGAGGACTAAAAGCATACTTTAACTATAAAGAAAATAAAAAAAGAAGAGGCAAAGGAGAAAAAAGAAAACAATCAAGCAAATTTAATTGAGGAAGCTGATCAGAAGGGTGAGAGCAATAGAGCAAGAGCAAGGGTTCCTATCATCGGCGTGTTTGTTAATGGTGGTATAATAGTAGCAGCAGCAGCAATGATAACAACAACAACTAGCTAATTTTATTCTACTAGATAGTGTGGGTTACATAGATCGTACAACACCATTATTTTCTATAATTAATCAAGCTTTTAAAAATATTATCAATGTTAACTAGGAGGTTTCATTCGACATATCCATGTAAGATTCAACAACGTTTTACGTTAGTTGTTAAAAGCTAAATACAACCCTCCTCTTTTTTTGTGCTTGGCAGTGGTGAGAATTTTTTCCAATGACAAAGGGGATACATTTTTCATTTAAGGCAATTGAAGAAGAGGCAAGTGTACCGCTTATCGTTTTCATCCAATAGCAAAGAAAAGTTGGCTACTCCTTTAGTTAGTGTTCAATCAGAAAGAAAAATTACTTCCTTCTTTAGTTAATTTGATTGCTTGTCTAACGTGGCCATGGTGGCTCTTGTTGTATGTATATTTTTCCATGTTTGATAGATGCTGATCGAATTAATGGAACTTCACTATGTATTTTTTTGTATGTGTATCTTTCCATGTCAGAGGTGTTAGGGAAGGGAAAGAATGGCGAACAACGAAAAAAGAAGGGAAAGGAAAATCAAAAGTAAATGCCCTTCATAAGTTCAAGCAAGACTTTCAGATTACGCATAAAGGTAAATGGATATTCAAGGGACTGAAATCATAACATCAGTGATAAATTAAAAGTTTGGGTATTTAGAGTGGATTATACAAAATGGTGATAAATTAGTGAGGATATTGCATATAGAATATAATCTGGATGTGTAAATGGGCAAAGAGTATAATTATTTGTGATAAAAAAATACTTTATAAACTTAAAGAAATATATAAAACCATTATAAACCCAATAATAACACTATATGATAGTGAATATTGGATTTTAAGGAATAATAAGAGCATAAAATTGGGTACATGAATAGATGTGGGGTCATACAAGAAAATATAGGGCATTAGGACGTATTTGGTTATTAAAGAGGAATGGGATGGTATAGAATGTTTTGTACAGAATAAAATGAACTAAAATAAAGTTGTGAAAACATAGAGAGATGGAGAAAATAGATAAATGAAAACTGTGGGGGCGATAGAGTGATGGGAATGAGGATTGTTATGAATAAAGTCATCAATCTAATTCCCACCTAGCTATCAATCACTCCAAGGCTTTCATCTCTCTACAATTTTCATCCCTCTGTCAATATGCAATCTTAATTTAGTCTATTTTGTTCACTATCAATTCATTCCATTCTTTTCCATTTCATTCCTATAATTGATCACCATAATATTCGTAATGAACATATACAAGGAAGAGCTAACATGACATTTATTGAGAAAAAATGATAGAAAATTATTTAAGGTAGTTCAAACATATATAAAAAAAAAAAAAGGCTAGTGGAATTTGAAGGTGCTGGTGAAGAGGGTTGAGCAAACAACAATTTTAAATCTTGTAAAGAAATGTAGAGGAAGATGAAAAACAAAATTAAGTTATTAGATAGAATCATTTTGGTGAATAATATATCTAAAAATTTGATTGTTGACAAAACACAATGACATTATGTGATCCATATAACCAATATGTAATCCATATAACCAACCCTCATTCAACAAAATAATCAAAAGGCCTAATGTTGTTATTGGCTTACAAGTTAAAAGATTAGTTATAAATATTAATCTATATAAATACAAACATATGGATGGTTTCATTTATAGATTAATAAGAGTTATTATTCCATGTTTTAAAGCAACCACCGGCAGCTTCATTTGATGTTCTTTATGAAGAGTTCTGAGTTTTCCTCCTCTTACTATAGTTTATTGACTTATGGTATGATGTACTCTTTTTGTCATAACCATAATCATAATAATAATGATAATAAATCCATTTTCCAAAGAAATATCTTTGTTAATTTGTTTAATATTTAAGTACACCAAAATTTTAACTGAATTTCTCAATCTATATAAAATTATCGATAATTCTTATAATAGAATGCTAGATAGTATTTGGTTAGAGAGGAATATAGGGAGGAAATTTTTATGAGTCCAAATTTTAGGGGGGGAAAACTAAAAGTGGGTTGAAAGTTTTTAATTAATTTCCTTTAATTTTTTCTCTTACGTCTCTGTAATAAAATTTTGCAATTCTATTTATCTATTTTTAATCAAAATCATTAAAATTTCCCTTCCCCCTACCAAACAAAAAGAAA